TTTTACTGCTAATGAAAATAAACTTTTTAATTCTAACATCAGCAAATGAAAATAAATTTCACTGCTAAGGAGCATAAGAAATATTTAAAGATGATTTAATACAATTTTTAAAAAATTTTACAACCGCAACTTTGCCCATAACAGCACGTGAAATAATATGGTAGAAAATCTGCATACAACAACCCAAAAATTTAAAATTTATCAACTAATAGCTTTCATCTGCCAGCGGTATCCTTTCAAGCATCTCTGAAATTAGGTAACAGTTGCCATGCATTTCATTATATTTAATATCCAATCATGATAAAAAAAATATACAACTTTATATTTTTTATTTTTTATCCACAAAAAAAAAAAAAACTTTACCTATATATAAAATCCAATAATAAATCCTCACAAATCAAACAACTCCCAACCACCTTTGAATTTCTCCAATACTAAATATAACAAGCGCTGACTCAGAATATTAAAGCCCCTATTTCCTGCACACATCCTCCACCTACACCATGTCACATCAACTCCGCCATCTTTGAAACTTCATTTCTTTTGACTGCAAGCCAAAAGATGGCGTAATCTATATAGGGTCCGTTGGTATTCCTAACCTAAAGTGGCTTTAATTAATTAGTTCAGCATATCTGTTTCTCCTGTTTTTTGTATGCAATTGGATAGCCGCCACAAATGGACAAATCAAACCACTTTGGTGTATTATAGGACTGTGTTTAGGATGTAATTGGTTGGTGTCCCTTTAATAAAAATTATTGTTTGTCAATAAAAAAACAATTTTTTTTTTTTATAAAAGATTAGATGTTGTGAAAAAATTAGATATTTTTATAAAAAAAAAAATCAAAGACATTTAATGACAATTACAAAATGAATAAAACGTAATGTATCTCTTAATTAAATCTTATTTATTATGTTGTGAAAAAATAATACATCTTAATATAAAAAAAATTAAGGCATCTAATGATAATCACAAAATGGATGAGATGAAATGTAAATTTCAACTTAAATCTTATTCATTATGTAATTGAAATTAAATATCTTGATTTTTTTAATTTCAGAACATTTTAAATTTTACTTTTCTAAAATAATTAAAAATGACATTTACAATTATTAATTTATAGATTAATTTTAATTTGTTAAATATGAGTAATAAATATCAATACTTTTATTATATATATCAACTAATAATTAAGGTATTTATAATTTTTAAAGATTAATATTTATCAATCAAATTTATAAAAATTAAATTAAAAAACACTTTAAAAATTATATTATTTTAATAAAATATTACAAAAATGTTAAAATAATTTTATTTAAAATTTAAAAATTCAAATATTTTAGTCTTTTTAATTAAATTTTACTAAACTGATATAATTTTGTAATATTATTTTACTTAATTTTTTTAATTCAAACTGATAACTATTTTTTTTAATTATTAAATTAAATAAAATTAAAACTTTAAAATATTATTATAAAGATTTATATAACTTTAAAACTATATTGTGTGAACGTTTCTATGGCGGAGAGGATGCCACGTTTCTTTGGCAGCCTTTGATGATCCTCTTTTCCAATTTTTTGAATAACGAACAGGACTGTCCAATTTATTCTCCGATTGATGGCAATACTAATAATTTTTTTGCTACAGAAAAATCCATACTCTTTTATCATTATATATGTATTGTCAAGGCACGAGTATTTTTATTGCCTATTTTCAAAAAAGGCACGTATATTCTCTAAGATTTTAGGTGAAATTTTGACCACTGGAACATGTGGTCCTTTATAGTTTATACTCATTGTGTCCCGTCAAATTTGTCTCCAAATTGTAATCACCACGTGTGTGTCTATGCTTACATATATATATATATA